AAACAATAACAGCAATAATCATAATTATGATGATGATAATCACAATAATAGATAGAAGCACTCAGAGAGCACATACCTCCGCCAAGGCAATAGGGTCACTGATGCTTGAGAAATATTCATACTTGGAAGAATAACGTTTTTTTCTCAAGTACACTGATGACGTCCGTATTTCCCTGTCTCGCAATGCTAATGAATCCTTTAAAAAAGTAATAGAAATTTCATAAAAATCCATTCATAACCGCATACTGGCCGTGAGCGCACGATGTCTTTTGACGCACAAAAACCTCGACGACTTCTAGAGAAGACCTAAGGACGCACGTTGCCCTTGCGCCCCACGCAGGGAGCACGCGAGGAACACGCAGGTCAGACATGCGTTTTTTTCCTTCTTTTTTTCCTCTTAGTGTCCAAGACGCACGTCGCCGCAAGATTACGCAAATCGATCACACATTTACCGCGAGTGTGAAGTGAGACGGTCGCACCACAACGTACGAAATGAACAGGACCTCCGCACACTGCTGGGGTATGGAAAGGTGTGCCCAGCTCACGCGTTCACTCATGAAAGGAAGCACATGTCTCTCCCTCATGAGAGGAACATACACATCTCTCCCTCATTTATGAAAGGAAGCACATGTCTCTCCCTCACTCGTAAAAGGAAGCACATGCCTCTCCCTTACTCATGGAAATAATACATACGTCTCTCCTTCACTCATGAAAGGATTTATATGCCTATCCCTCACTCATACATGAATCTCACATGCTTCTCCTTCATGCATGAAAGTAAAACGCATGCCTACCTCTTCACTCATAACACTCAGAACCCCTTCAGCAATTTCGACTTTTAGTTCGGCACGTGGCCTCATAGGCCTACCCCAGTGACAGAGGACTGAAGAAAGGAGTACAAGGATAATATAAATGGTTGAAGTTGATGAAGGTTGATGGAGGTTGAAGGGCCAGTTTTGGTTTTTAATTAGGGTCACTGTTATTATTATCATTATTATTACTTTTATTATGAAGATGAAGCACATTCTGACTCGATACAGGACGCACCTTCGCCGTGCACTCCTTTCTACTCATCCGTCGTAAGTGTCTGTCGTACAGCTGCCGCAAGACTTACCTACCTACTTACCTTACTACGAGGGACACACGCGCCAAATCGCAAGAGTGTTTCTTACGTCCTCCTCAAGGGCAGCACGGCACGATTACGTCGCTCTCACTCCCGCCTTACGAGTTGACTTTTTTTTCTTTTTTTCTTTTTTACCTCCATGTTCTCTACGACCCTTACCTACGACAAAATCCGCAGAGGATCGGTGGTGACCGAGGCTTAACAAACGCTACCAAAAACATAACCTCCTTAGCGGAGGAAATCATAATAGTAATGGTAATGATAATAATGATAATGAACCGTATTCATGTAAAAAAATGCAGAAAAGGTATGACTGAGAAAAAATATGATGATTATAATGATAATGATAATAATGATGGTAATGATAATGATAATAATGATGGTAATGATAATGATAATAATGATGGTAATGATAATGATAATAATGATGGTAATGATAATGATAATATTTATAATTTTAACAATAATGATAATGATAAAGCACGAAACTGCAATTCAAGTAGAGTGCTAGTACGAATTTCTACCGATAGACGGTGCTGTTGCTGCTAATGGTGATGGATGGTGATGGCGCTGCAGGTGAGACTTAGACAGATTGTGAGAGTTCAGAAACGCTTACTGGTTAACTTTGAAGACTTGGCTGCTGTGCCAACGACTTTCTTCTGTAATCCGATAGGGCTGAGTCTTATCTTGCTGATATTTGATATAAATAGAAAGTGATGGCACAGAAAAACAGAAGAAATGAAGTAAAGTGTAAATACTGATCTTGTGCTGATAATTTGATTCGCATTTTCTCTTTATCAAATCTGGTTCACTATTTACTAGAAATTTTCTGTTGACATATACCTGCAAGCTCAGATCAAAGGAAAAATGATAATTACAAACAAATAAAACAGAAAAGTAAGACAGACTCATCTTTACGAGTTCATTTCAACGGCGTATATTGACATTTTTTCTGAATTGCGAGCTACCATGGTGACAAACCCCTGGTTAGCTATTTGTTCAGAAATCTTGCATATGTACATTGCGCGTGATGCATTTTAGAAAGATGTTATCAAGCAACTGATAGCGTAGTGAATATTGAATTGCAAAAGTGTTCGTACATAATTATTTTCTCCCTTGTACATTTTCTGTCTCGTATGACATTAATCGGCCCTCAACATCAATGGCCAGCATTACATTTATGAGTTTTCCCACATTAAAATTCGTAATTTGGTAAACTTCATATGACGTATTCCGTTCCTCGTGATTTATATTCCTTCTTTCTTACTTTTCTCTGATATTTCGAAATGCATATCAGAGAAAAGTTGTGATAAAAATCACTTCTGTAATGGTTCTGTAATCTTATGCTGGGAGAAAAGGGGGGATAAATGGAGAGAA